CGACACACAAGTGTGTCGAGTACCATTTCCCTATGTTGCCCCAAATAGGTAGGGAGTAGAACTCGGCTGGGGGGGGGGTTGGGAAACCTGCCTCATTGCGGGTGGATTACCGTTTTATAGCCCGGCGGCTCTGGATTCGGTGGTTGAGATTGTCCGTTTTTTGGCCCGGCGGCTCAAAAATCCGTTAATTCAGTTATGAAAGTGAAGAAGCAAAGGGTCAGTTATAAGAATGAAAGATCGATGCTTTCCGGCATGATAGCAGCGCCTCCTTTCGGAGGGTCACACCCAGCACCCAAGTGGGAAGACTGAGCGGCTCACACTCTGACATTGGTTTTCAGTTAACTCAATTGCCACGTTGGGAAGGAAGGTGAAGAACGGTAAGGTGAAGAGTCCGCAAAACTTGTAGATGTTTGAACAAAATGGTTTGAAGTCTGCAGAAAGCACGAAAACGAAACGCTCACGAAAACGCGCGGCTCAGTTGCAAGAACGCGGTGGGAAGGTTTAGGGGGAGTATCATGAAGAACCATGAAAACAAACAAGGTCAATTGGACAGCTTGTTCAACCGTTAAAGCAGGTACACATCCATGGCCAGTGGATGCTTCCCTCTCTGATGCCTAGCTTCGTTGGACAGAGTAGCATCAGAGAGCTCTGTCCCCCTGCTTTAAATTAAATTAGACCCTTGGAAACAGGGTTTGACACACACACACACACATATATATATATATATAGACATATCGATGGAAGTAAACATTTCCATCCTCCTAACAATATCATCTCTCACGCCCCACAATAATCACCCCCGAGCAAACCAACTTATATACTGTGATTCGGCTGGGGTGAGTATTTGGGTGGCTGCAGCAGAGTTTCCATAAGAAGACTGTCTATTTGCAAGCTCTGCTCTACCGGCTCTACTTTTATGTTTGTTCAGCAAATATCTTTTATGCCCATGGTTGTTGTCAAGCAACTTTATAGGGCCAGAGGTTATAGGCCATAGGGATTTGCGCCAAACATCCTGAGATGAGGGGTGGACCCCTGTGCTTGAAAGGCACACGCGAGTTGCGCACTGAATGACCAATGACAATGGGTCAGCCTGTTTTGTCCATTTCATGACCTGGAATTCTGGGCTACTTGGAACCCCACGGGAAACCCATTGCCTTCATGCTGTCCTCATATGACTGTTGTCATCATCACCGATAAAACATGCAACGGCCAGCAGCATTCGTTGTCTCACCAATCTGGAAGAATTTGTAATGCTTGCAAGCAGTGCTTAACCCTACTCTTCAGTGATCAATTGAGTAAATCTCTGGGTGACCCAAGAATTTGGGTCCCAGAGGGTCTGCGTCTCCTTTTGTCCGGTTGGTGGAAGAACTACGACGGGTAGAGTCTTCTTGAGTCACGAGAACTACGCCTCAAGCTCACCCCTCACGTGAAGGATCATCCCACGTAGAGAACAGTGACTTTGAAATGGCTCAAACTGGTGTTTTCAGAGCTTGTTAGCACTATATCAACTCTACCTGAAGCACCACCTCCAACGCACTTTCACCAGCTTGAAGACCATCGAAGAAGACCATTGTGACTTGAACTTGTTACGATGTGTAAGCAAAGACCAGCTCAATTTTCCAACCTCAGAGCCGAGCTTTTCCAAACACGTCCACGGCCCGACCGCGTCTTTTCCATCTCCATCCCTTCCGCCTGCTCCATCGATCGCGGGTTCCAAGGATGTCCCTCATCGGGGCCTGTGCCTTCGGATGAGAGTGGCGAAGATTCGAGGGACCGGCACCGGTTGCATGAGACGGTTCTTCCGTGTTTTTTGTCCTGAGCAGTCAGGAAGAAGGTTGGAATTGAAGCTGACCGTATAAGATTCCATGCAAAAACTGTACAAGAATGGATCCGACTATTTAAGTTTTAAGTATTTCTGACTTCACAGTTTTGTCGGAGGTCTCAACCATCGTTAACTTTGGGTCCCTGCTCGTGCTCCTTCTGATTTGTCTCGGTCTGCCGGAGTTGTGCAGCGTTGTGCTACCACCAATTCGTGAGGCTTCAGGAGTGCTGCGAGTGATGCCACGCTCTTTCTTAAGACTCTCATCCGAAGGCTAATTATATAACCAGACAACTGAACCACCCATCCGAATGCCCTGCCTTTCGGTTGGGGGTGGGTGAGCTTGAAGTCAGTGCCCGAACTGTTTTGAGCTATTGTTGCGACCTATCTTGATACCACCACCCGCCTTTACCCAGAACTTTTCAATACCCTGCCCCATGGGGGGCAGGATTTCTTTTCCGCCTCTTCCAGGACGATTTCAGCTGCTGGTTTCAGCCCGTTTCTTTCCGATCAAACTCCATGTCTCTTCAGCTCACCCAGGCATGGCTTGCGTGGCCTTCTACTTCGTCCGTGCGGCACAGCCCGGTTTGGCGCCCACGGCGTCCGGCACCATCATCGGCCTCACCGACCCCAGTCGCTCCAAGGCGAAGCGACCGGATGGGACGCAACGGACGGAGTGTGGTTTTACAGCTGTGAAAAGAGTGGGATTTGAGAGGATCTGTGAAGCGAACTAGTTGATTTGCCTGAGCTGAACTTCTTCATGGCCCGGAAAGAGCGGTTTACAGAAGCGGTCTGCTTCTTCTAAACGGCGACGCGAAGCTTGCTTGGCCAGGTTGAGGAGAAACATGCAGCGGAGGCGGAATGCACGGGAGGAACAAATCGATGCCGTGAGACAAAGTCCACGATTCACCCCTGAACATGAACAACATGGACTACCAGGGATCTCAACCTACCATGTTGTTGGTGGTTGGTTTTGAACCGTATCCAGAACCCTCAATGTAAGATCAGTCAGGCATGGTTTGGTTGGGAAACCATTCCCATGCTGCCTCGCGGGGATAATAAGCGATTGCCAAGCTCCATCAAACTTCGCGCGCTCAATCGAGATTCTCTTAGCGGCAAGCCACTCAGAATCCCAGTCTTCCTTAAAGCTTCAAAAGGCCGCCCTGCTGCCGGTTTTTGCAGCCGGTTTTTGCAGCGTCCAGAATTGAATTCACTACCCTGAACTAATCATGGAAGTGGAATTCACCATTTGTTTGGTCTTCGGATTTCATGGTCATCTGAGTCTTCGTGGCCATGCCATCCACTTAGGATTGATGGCTTAAAGTGTCCACCCTGCGTCAAGTGGCACCAAATGCTGCGAAAACGGGGCCGAAAACGGACCCTAAGATCTGCTGTGAGAGAAGTAGCTGTTGCATACGTTTGCGATCCTCGGCGCCGCTCGTTTTCGCTGTTGCTCCGCTCAGGTGGCCGCCGAGGATCTCAAGATCTAAAACTGCTTGAGAGAGGCAGTTGAGCCGAGAAATGGCTAATCAGCTTTGCTGCTTTGCTTTTTTCTGATCCCACTTGGATCCTTCTGCTGTGATTGATGTTTGAAAGATGATTAAAAAAGAATCAAAGTAACAACCAATCTTCCCAGAATTGAGAGTTCAAAGTAATGACTTTGTAGGAGAGAGTTCAAAGTAACAACCAACTCTTCCGAGCTGAGAAAGGACCATGTCCGAGGGCTCTTCTTGGATCCCACCGCACCCGTTTGCTTCGACGGCACGTTTCCAGTGGATGATCCAAGCAGCTCAGACTGTTGGAGCGGAGAGGGTCACATTTTTGATTCCCAAGGGGTCAGGTCGAGGTGTAGGATGGATCCGCATGGAGGTTCACGAAGGGGGTAGAAAGAACTTCACATGGTCTGACGTATGTCTTTGTCACTCAATCTTCATTATCTTCATTCTAGAAGCACCAAAACATCCTCCGGTGTTTGGAGTTCTTGCTTTAGCTACTTGAGCTCACGCCCCCCTTGGACCCCCGCTTTAGGGATCCCGACAATGGCCGTCTCGACCCGAACATCCCCTTTATGCGGAGAGCATTTCTCCTTAGCGCCGAATCTGCCCAGCCTGCCCCTGTGCGGAGGCTTTTAATCCGATCGAATCCGCAACGCGGAGCCCAGATCGGCCGAAGATCATGGGACTGGGGGTGCCACAAAGATGTCTTGAGGATTCTACAGGAGACATGGCTGTTGGTGCCAACAACCTACCCGGAAACAGACACCTCCAAGGGGAAGCCTCCGCAAAGCCTGGAATCTACGAACAACAACAATCACTCCGTGTCGAACGCTTGGTTTGTGGAGCATTTACATCATTATGTGATATGTGTAGATATGTGATGTATTATATATAACCCATATTTAGTGCATTCTTGAATTGGATTGGAGGCAGGTTGGTCCGTGGGTAAGCTGATTCTTCACATGCAATTTGGCTGCACAACTGCGCAACAATCTTTTTGCAATGGATCAAGGACACAGGGAGCACAAATGACAGGGAAATCGCAGATCATAAACCTTAATCACCCAGACATTTTCCAGAAGCTCAGCTCTGGCATTTCAGTTTGCTTTGCCTGGTTCCATGACTTGACGCTGTCGGCCCTGCTGGGGAGACCCGACGAATGTCGGCAATTCTTCAGCAGCGAAGCGAATGTTCCGACGGCGCTTCCCGGACGAAGACGGCGGCGACCTCTCCGCTCTCCGCCTCTCCGACTTCGCTTCGTCCGACTCTGCGGAACGCAGATCGGGCGGGAGCTCGGGGGTGTGTGTGAGGTTCGGGGGGGTTGTGTCGAATGACCGGGCGTACTGGCGTACTCTGAGCTGCAAAGATTGCGATGCGGAGATGGGGGACGGAGGTGTTTCCTCACGTTCAGAAGGTGAACTGTTTCAGAGGAAGTTCCTGCAAAGACAAGGGCATTTTGACCCCCAGATTGTTCCATTATACAAAGAGGAAATCACAAGGCAAAAGTCTCTGAGAAAACATCAGGCATCTGTCTATGAAGTATGGCTGATGCTTTGGTTTGACCATGACCTTGGTTCGACTTGGTCCCTTTATGGATACCTTTTTTGATCTTTCTTGTCAGTTTTTGAAATCGACCAACGCGAGCAACAAGGAGCCTCAGTGATACAGAGTCGCCTGTCGAACTGAAGCATTTCGGCTTAGACTTCGCCTGAACAGCTGCAAAGTAAGCTTTTTGTGTTTGGGCAGCTCGACCCATGACGCGCCTTCTGACCGCGGTCCTGTGCTGCGCCTTTGCACCGGCGGTGGCTCTCACTCAGGTGGATGGCAGTGGGACAACGAACCCCTCCAAGTTCTTCTGGAAGATCATGCAGACGATCGAGGCCTGTGAGCCCAAACGGGAGGCGGCTTCGGAGCAGCCACTTTTGCAGACTCCAAAGAACCAGAGAACCCAGATCCAACCACCCACCTTAAGCTATGAAACAAACAGTTCTTTCACATGAACATGCCTAGGTAAAGAATCCTTGAACAGTTGTTGATTGGACTTTAACTTGAAGTCTTTGTGTCATTGTTGTGATGCATGTAAGGACAGGGCTTGGGAACAATCAAGTCCAGAAGAACTATGACCAAGACAACTAAGACAACATCCTCTCTGTCTCTCCTTCTTGCATGGCTTTAGAAAAAACCGACGGTATACACTTTGATCATGTTTGATCTGAACATGTTACTCTCCCTTTACACTTCTTGGGACTCATGGTGCGCCACGTATCTCCTACAGTCCGTAAGCACAGACCGGTCCCACCGTACCAAGGTACGGTCCCACCGGTGCATCGGTCCGTGGTCGTTTTTCCCATACCCGGACGGGTCGAAGGGTCAACGACCGGAGGACCTTGATGTTTATCTCACCCCCCCCCCACAGGGAACGGTAAAACCATGTAAATCCATGTAAAACCATGTAAAACTGCCAAACCGGGGAGTTGATCAAGATTCTTGGACCACTTCTTCAGATGGGGGGTTTGATTCATTTTATTCATCAGGATTCTGCATAAATGCTAGTGGCGCCAGCCTGCGCCAGGCCCGAACCCGGAAGGACGTCCGACTCACTTACCGTGCCGTCGGCAGCAGCACTGGGCAGAGGGAGTTTACCCAGACAAGCAGCACCAGCGCAACTTGGAGAATGAACTTGGATCAGGAAGTACTTAAGTCATTACTCGTAGGTATCAGTGGCGTATGACTCAAGACATATGCCCAGGCTTCGACAGGTTGTATATGTAGTCGATCTTCCTCCACCCTCGGAGTTGGAATGATTGGATGGTTTATCTGGTTTTTGACCCAGATAAACCATCCAAACTCACTGGCGTTCCTCCGACCAACCAAGCAGTTCTATTTTTCAACGTTTTTTCTACCAGGTCTCAGGTGGAGCACTGACTCATTTAGTCTAGACATTTCCTGGAGATTCCCTTAGAGCAAATTTCACTTTGAATGAATCACGGAACATTCATTCTCTTGTTCGACCACGTTCTTCATTCTCGTTAATATTGTATTGGTCTCCCATACAGAGAAGTTAATGGATGGTAGTTCAAGGTCCCATTGTCCCATTGCTTCTTTGGATCCCGCGCCGAGCGGCCGGAATCCTAGTCCGCAATTGGGCCCCCAGCCTCCACAGCGGAGACGAGGCTCGGCTCGAGCCTCGTCTCCATGATTTGACCATAGAGGAGACGATCTGAAGGGCCGCTAGGGGAGTGTTTGTTCAAGTTTGTTGATCGAACCTACCACCATCCGGGAGTAGATCAGCTACGGCATGCTACGGCTATGAAGGTTCACCAAACAACATTGACCTGTTTCTCATTGGGGTTTGGGATCTTCGATGAGAACCGTGCCGACTTGACTCGGAGTCACACGCCTGCACGCTGCGTGCCACCGCTGCCCAGGCCTTCACCAGCGGGCTGACGGACTTTGGCTCCGGGGACATCCCGATGACCAACTGTGCCTTGACAGTGAGGGAGGTCAACTGAAGCCAGTGAAGGGGATTTTCCAGTGAGGAGCACTCCACTTTGCCAAAGCCCTAGGGCCCTAGGGTTTTCGTCATGCTCGGTTTTTGTCATGGCTTCTTGGATGGCTCATGTGAGTACTTGACCTACCTTCACTGGCATTTTTCAGCAGTTGTCAACTGGGCTCTTGATATGTTCCCTTTCAGCGCTGATCTCCAGGTGAATCACTGACATTGGCTGGTCTTTAGGCATCCAGGAGATCAATCTTCCCAAGTCCTTTAGCAGCTGCCAGACAGAGCCCAATTTGAGATCCATGCGCAGGGGTTTTCAGGGAAGATTCAAAGGCTGCACGTCTACAAAGGCCTTTACTAACCATCATCATCCACTCTTACTGGCAATGTATAAATATAAATATATATATATACATATCGATATACCGAAACCTCACAGCTGGATACTTTGGGCAGCTTTGATCCAGGGATCTATATAACTTGCAGCTCGTTGCTCCCCTGCAGCGGTCTATGTAGCCCAGTGGCAGAACAGGTTCACTCAATAAAGTATCAATCACATGTCGATATGATATGCATCATGAGGATGGTCTGGAAAAGAACTTCAAAACTTGATCTCGAGGGACTGAATCAAAGCATCAGCAAGCAAACCAGAAGATGGGAGTATGACAACCCTGGCTGTCTCACGTGCCGTGACTCATTCATTTCAACCTTCCCATCTAAACCGACTCTGAGCCCTGCCTCTTGGTGCAAACGAACGGGCAGTTGCTTGTTAAGTTTGGATCAAACACTGTGGCATCCCTGGCTGGGTTCTCAACAATCGTCGCACTTGTCCGATCGCAACGCCGTGGGGTGTGAAACACTGCCTAGTCAGATCTGCCACTTGTCTACCTGACTATGTCTTATCTGGTTATGTGTTTGCCACATATTCAATTGCATGTTCCTCAGTCACGGACATCCGTCACGGACGTCCGTCACGAGCGAGCGAGCGAGCGAGCTCCATCCCGTTCAGACCCTTCGAGGTCACCGGTTTGGCCGAACCCCCCCCCCGGTCCCACGGTCCCACGACCGGAAAGGCACAGAGTCCGTGGTGAGACCGGGGCGAGTCCATTCGGTCCAAAGAGGTCCATGAAAAGCTACGAACGGAACAAGTGCCTTACTAGTAGTAACAAGAAGCTAATGAGGTCCATTAAGTTTCTTTAGACTTCAAATGAGGTCCATGAAAACACCAACGACATCCGACTCATCACCGAGATCGGCCTTTGGACACGTCGACTCCGCGTTGGACACCGTACGACACGGCTCCGTCTTGACCGCCGTTTTGGGTGCAAAGAGGGAAAGGCGGCTCCGCTCCGAAGTCAGCTCTGAAGAGTGTGGGGAGAAGGTCAAAACGCAGACACACCATGGGACGCAGTCCATATGCCTATATTAAACCCCGGAAACCGGTGTAGGTAGTAGGTAGTAGGTAGTAATATATATATATATATACACACCTACCGAGTCAGTAGACTACTCCTTTGTTTCCCTTTTCTTGGGATTGGTTTCCCCACGTAACAAGAACCGGTGGACCGTCCCACACTTCGGTGATTTCACCGATGTTCCATACATCTCCAGTGGACCCGGTGCACCCGCCTCCCGCCTCCCGCCGCCCTCCTCCGCTCAGCTCGCTGGAGCAGCATGTCGACGGCAGGTGGATCCGACCCAAAGGGCGAACGTCGAGCGGATGGAAACGGTCTTGAACTTGCTTGCACGATAGTTGTCTAAATAGCCTGAAAGTGAGGGTACTTCAATTTTCAGGTGGATTCTGTTCGGACATGAGGCATGAAAATTGATTGAGGGGCTCTTGGATCCGATTGATGTGGTTTCTTCTTCGAAGGGATCTTGAGCTAGGGCAAAAAGCAGGAAAATGGCCATGGAAGAACTGCACTTTGACTCTCTACGGACATGTGTCCAGTCGCTTTATGTGTGGTTAATGAGCATGATGCTTGTTTGGTGGGGATTGCCCGATTCCCTGAAAATTCAAAGTACTTTCTCTTCGCGCCTCTACTTGGCCTGAAAGACCACCAGCCAGGGCCGACAAGGAACTTAAGTTTCTCTAAACATGTAGGAACCAAATGAATAGTGCGAGCGCTTCTTCAAGGAAACTGCCCCCCGCCCTCACAAAGAGCTTCCTTGAAGAAGCGTGAGCTATCCTGCGTCCATACTAGTAGCTTAAGTAAGGTACTAGCTACCTCTCCCTCAATTAAGTAAGCGCACATTTAATTAAGTAGGGAGGGGGGGAGCGGGCTAAAGAAGAAAAGGTGACCTTCTTTTGGTTTGCCAGTCGACCAAAGCTGCGGCCTTTTTTGGAGGATCCACTCGGGGATGGAGGGGAGCGTTCCGAATGTCCGGTGAAGCAGTGATTGACCCCCTCATACTGGGCCATACTCTTGACATCAGAGAGAGTAAATACTTAAAAACATGGAGCAACAAAGCTCCAGTTCATTTCAGCCATCCCTCCAAACACCACAAAGCTCCAGGATGCCACAGGGAACAGACACACAAATGCTCCGGTGGTTTCTGCCTTCTCTGGGGTCGCCACCGAGAGGATGGGACGGAACGGTGGTGAGCCGATCTCCGTCGATCTCCGTCATTCGATCTCCATCGCCAGGCCGTGAGATGGTCCATGTGCCTTTCTGCCTGGGCGCCATTGGTGTCTTCCACTCGGTCCCTGCTGCCGAGGCACAGAATGTGAACGAAACCACTAGTGGTGCCATTGGTGTGAACAGGAAGCGGTTTGGTGCTGGTGTTGTGCCCAAAGACATGCATGTCCGCAACATGGATGGGATTTGGATTGTCAAACTGTGTTTTTTATTGCAACATTCTCCATTCAAAGCGGACGGACGCGAGTGAAACAGACATGGATGATCTTTCTGTTGCGTACGGTCGATGTGACCTTCCGGTTGCCACCGGGTCGGTGGCCATCATCTATCAGAGCGGTGAGCCCGTGGTTTGGGTTGCGGGCTGGGAGGTCTGGGGCCTGAGGAGGGAGTGGTTGCCCGAGTGGTTGGAATCCATCGGACTGGAATATTTGCAGACTATAATTATATATTGATCCTGGGCCAAGCTCTCTATACACACACATGTATGTACCATACATTGCCATACATGGAGTGTCTGCGGATTGAATCAAATGTTGCATGTTGACAAAGGTACCAAGGTACTGGTTTGTGAGTCAGATTTAATTTGCCGCACTTGCCCTATGCACAAGGAAGACACGAAAGACATATAGAACTGAAGCCATATCACAGGAAGGTTTGTTGATGCTCCTGGTAGACTTCACGACATTGAAGAGTGCCCTGGGCTAACCCCACCTACTATATTTCTTCTTGGCATCTGAGTGGGGCCCAGGGCATCCTTCTGGACCCAAGTGAGATTCCCACTTCCTGTACACACCTCTACACCATCCATCATCTCCATCATCTCCTTTTCATCGCTGGATCCCTTTTCCACTTCGACCGAACTCCGGGTGACTCCCTCCAACCCGGTCCCACCCGCAGTCAGGTCGGTCCATCCGGCCTGAAGCTGGCGCCCTGCACCTTGGCGAAGATCTTCGACGGCGTCATCACCACCTGGGACCACGCGGAGAACCCGAAACCGCCGCGAAGCGACGCAGCGGCGCAGCGGCGCGGCTCGGTGCGCGGCCGTTGGTTGGGTGAGTTCCGCAGAGAGAGAGAGAGAGAGAGAGAGAAGGCATCCGACGCCGGGAAGAAGCATGGTGGTGCCGTGTGCGGGCTTCTTTTGCTGTTTCGCATGGGAAGAAGCTAGGGGTCAGGTTTTAGGCTTTCACGTCTTCCTTGATCTATAGGGTGTGAAAGACGAGCTTGTTTCTCGTCCCTCTTCATCCTCACCCATTCTTACCCACCAACCCTTTAGTACAGATGCCCTCACCCTTCCAGCTACCTTTTGTCCACCCCTGTGTGTAGTAAAGTTTCGTCCACCCGTCACGAAACGCCACATGCAATGACAGGGGCAATGAGGCCGGGAGGCCGGGAGCGACGTCACGGCCACACGACGGGCATTGGACCCTTCTACACACTGCAGCCCTCTAGTTCTAGAGATCCGAATCAACCTTAAGGAGGCCGCTGGTACGTTGGAGGCCATCCGCTAGTAGGTTGGAGGCTATTAGAAACAAAGAAAAAGAACACAGAAGAAAGGTCTAATTATATTGTGCAAGATAACTTGTCCGAACCTTGTGATGACAACGGGCTTCCTGTGCATTTCCCTTGTACCTAACACAGCACGAGTGGCATACTTCTCTGCCAAGAGGTGCTTGGATACCACCTCCAATTCGAGAGATGCCTTCTCATTTTCACAAGTTTGAGCTCAGGGTAAGTACGGGGTTAATCCCTTTTCCTGTTCCAACAATCTCTTTGAGCTTCCAAGTCTTCCCATCCAACCCAGCTCAACGAGCTCAACGCCCACAGCCATGAAGAGATACAGCTCAAGTGCCCACAGGAGATTAAGGCTGACAACCCGAACTTGAACGTCCCAGCGGGCACCCTGATCCAGGCCACTAGTGCACCCGATGGACCAATTAAGGCTGCACCAGACGCAGAAACCGCCTAGTGACACTAGGTTGCCTGGAAGCGTCCGCTGCAAATCCAACAAAATCAGGTTTGCATAATATGTTTTTTTGGTACAATCTGTCATAGTCGACATGCACCAGAAGGAATCTTCAGCGGATCTCCCAAAGTAGGACATTGCAATCCATGATCCGTACCTCGGGTTGGAAGATGCAATCGATTGAACGTCGGTACTCAGGTAGGTGCTCAGTTCATTTGTGGCTTGCATGCTCTTTAAGCAATTTATGGTATCCGGAAAGCTAGTCACATTTGGTATCTCGCGACTCCAAGAGTGCCCAGACTCCCAAAGTTGGTGAGTTGAAAGCGATTCGATGTAGGGATGTACTGGATGCACACCAAAAGTACCATGTTGTACGAATTTGCAGAATGTGTAGAATTATCTAACACCGATGGCCTCCAACCGACTAGCGGCCTCCAACCCAGCCACTTGTCACACGAACGTGCTCTCTCTCTCTCTCTCTTGCTGTCTGCTCCCAGTCAAACGTTGTGAAGGCTAAACGGCGACCGTAACCGCACGTGGCACCCCGGCCGCGGTCGTCAGGTGGGTCACCGTACCTTGGGATCCAGCAGCACCGGTGGCACGACAGGCGGGTTGAAAAGCGGACATGACATGACACTGGCATGGGAACATGGTGGTACAGCGGAACATGCTAAAGGACGGGAGATCACTTTCCTTATGACTGTGGCGTGCTAGAATCATAGTTTTTGTTTGTCTTTTCGAACAGGGTACTTTGTAGATCTTTGTAGAAGAAGTTCTCTGCTTTAAGTCCAATCTTCTCTTGAGGACTCGCTCATAATGGATCATAATGGAGCAACATCTGTGGTGGCAGCCAGGTTGGTTTAGATCCTTTGGACATCACAAGGGCTTAGTCCTTTCCTGCCCGATTTCCATGACCATCCCTAAGAGGTCCCGAGCAGAGAGTTTGTCCATCCATTGAGTCAGCACTTTCTATCTCCACCTGACACCGCAGGAACACACGCGTATGCACATGCACCTGCACATATGCGTGCGCACACACACACAGAGTACTGACGCATGCAGGATACTTGAACGCCAAGTGCCCTGCCAGCTGGACACGCGGTGCTGGCAGCAGCATCACTTGGCCCAGCTCCGCCGGCTTCACTGCAGTTGCTTGGAAGCAGTACTGTAGGAATCGGTGACTTATCTTATTCTCCCCCACTGTTGTTTGTTTTAGATATCCTAGAATCCAAGTCCTGCAAGGACATGGCTCCGCTTCGGGAGAGTGGTTCCGTTGGCTCCGTCGGACATAGGTGACCCTTCTTCAGCCCCTGTTCGGTTGACCAGACCCTGGGGTCTGCAGTGGAGTTGTCGCACGGGTTGACTGGGGACATCGTGCTCAAGAGAACATGCTTGACTTCTCATGACACTTTCATGACCAGTGCCCTCAATGACATAGGCACCCTTGCCCAAAATCACATGTGGTCTTTTCTGGAGCACGCAGTTCGGGAATGGCAGTTGACCACCGTGATCCCCGGTGACCTCGTTGCCCAAATGGAGCACGGGCGACCCAGGTGCAGGGCTCTGGCGGCATGGCGGACCACATCGCAACCCAATCCTATGCCATCGGCCGGGGGATCCGAGCGAGACGGAGAGAGAGAGAGAGACCGAAGAGAACCGGGGTCTTCCGGGTCTGATTCAGAGGGACATAGACAGTCCGGTTGAGCTGTCAGTGGAAGAAACGAACCCAAGATTCAATTTATGGTGTCTTTTGCGTAATTAGTATGTGGGTTGGTTTCATCTTTTAGAGATAAGCCGGGCTGGAAGCTTTGGTAACCTCCAACTGTGAAGGACATATTCGAGCTGCACCAAGAAAGAAATGCACACCAATACCGAGGCGCGTAGAGGAAGTCACTACAGTAGGTGAGACCTGAGTAACCTCTGTTTTGGAGGATCAACTCCTCAAAAACAGAAAGCAGGTCGTCGGTGGGTTCGTTTGCATGTTTATTTGGATCCTCTATGATCCTCCAAGGTGTTGCATAGACCAAGCAAAACCTGTCTTTCAGCCTATGTTGCACCACCAAGCAGCTCTCCAAATACAACATTTGAAGCAACACATGTCTGTCAGAGTGCTGTCTTCGAAACCACATGAGGGCACTGGTGGTGGCCTTCAGGACCATTTTTGGGAGGGTGTCCTGTTTAAACCTGATCTTCACCGTGGAAACCACGACTGGAATGCCAAACGACTGGAGGGTGCCCCCTTCCCACACTCGGTCGAATCGTTTGTTTGGGGGATCTTCAGGGCGGTGTTTTTTTTTTTCTATTCTTTTCCATGAATAAACTTGAAGTTGGCAAAGTTAAGGCCATGTAACATAGCTGATCGCAGCTGTAGCTGTTTCCCAGTTACTGTAAGTCATGTTAGGGCATATATAGTCTTAGTTTATCTCTTGTGCAAACCCGGAATTCAACACACATTTGATGCTAGACGAATTGTATCATTCCATTGTGCCATTGTGTGGTCGAACGACGGCAGTCTGTGGCCTGCCAGGCTACTTGGATGCAGGACATGGTCATCAGCGTGACTTCCAGGCGCCGTGGACAGGAACTTCACAAGCGGGTCCTCCCCATTGTTAGGTTGGAGGCCATCGCTAGTAGTTTGGAGGCCATTGCTATTAGGTTGGAGGCCATTGCTATTAGGCTATTAGGTTATTAGGTTGGAGGCCCTTGCTATTAGGTTGGAGGCCATCGCTAGTAGTTTGGAGGCCATTGCTATTAGGTTGGAGGCCATTGCCATTAGGCTATTAGGTTGGAGGCCCTTGCTATTAGGTTGGAGGCCATCGCTAGTAGTTTGGAGGCATCGCTAGTAGGTTGGAGGCCAGGAGGCGATTGTTATTGGGTTTGAGGCCATCGCCAGTAGTTTGGAGGCCATCGCTAGTAGTTTGGAGGCATTGCTGTTAGGTTGGAGGCCATTGCTATTTGGCTATTTGGTTGGAGGCCATTGCTA